AGATAATGACTGCAATTAATGGATGAATTAATTGGGAAACTATGCGAAAACAAAGCAAAAAATACATGTTTTGGCAAAAAACTCACAAACCTTTGCATACATTCAATAACAATGAGCTGTCAATCAATGGACAGGTTTTTCACGAGAAATCACACCAAAAGCTCAAACACTTAGCCATTGATTAGTGACAGCCGGATAAAAATACACAAATATCACACTTAAACCAATGATATGATAAATAAATACAAATTAAAACTCATATTTAGTGCGCATTCAATGCAAGTGTACTCAACATATAGACGTCGATATGATTTGTAAACAAAAATCAATGAAAAAATGTATAATAAAAAGCCTTATGACTTAAATATAGCACACATTTTCACCAACATTTACTAAACTAATCAAGCAATCAGTTTATGGTATTTATCACGAGATAAATGATGTGATGTTTAAAAGTAAATTAAATGCAAAACCAATGCCTAATACATACCCAATGAGTGTGTCGTACGTGCGGTTGGTTTGACGGCAAACACAATAACTGAACGAAAAAACTTTGAAAACAATAAAAATGATTACAAAAGACTGCAGCAAATGAGTGGCTGATTAGGTCCCGAAGAGTTGGTGTCAGAGAGACATCGGTGGCAAAGTGTGGTCACCGTTGATATGTAGTACATATTATGTACACAAACTCATTGGAAATATAGTTGTGTTTACAGTGTGTGAGAGTCAGACATATTTAGGCACAGCATTGCCATTGAGTGGTGAACGCAATGTGTTTGGCAGTGAACGCCAGTCAACGGCATTGCAGTTAAGTATCGATTGTGCGTACAATCCGTGTCTCACTTTCACTGCACATACGTGAGAGTATTGCATTGAAGTCTATGTATGCCGTGCTGTACGCCAGTGTGGGACACATACATGTGTTTCACCGCTTTTTGGGCTACAGTTTCCTTCTTTTGGCCTTTATTTGCCTATTTTTTCAATACACTATTCACTATTGTATTGTGCTTTTAATTGTCAATTCATTTTTTATGTTGAGATATACCTGGGCATTGATTTTTTAAGGCGCCGGTAGGCTTGAAATCACTGGTCCGTAGATTTTATCTCATGTATTATGCAAACACAAAATTCAATCAAATATTTTATGCAAACAGAAAGTTTTTAAAAAAGTTTTCATATAAATTCATTGATGAATTTTTTGTTTGCAGTAATTATTTGTTAAATATTATTATGATAAATATTATGATATTATTATTATGATAAATATTATTTGTTAGAAATACTCTTGAAGTTTATGTTGAACTCCCGGGGCGTGTACTCCAAGTCATGTCATACTTACATATCACACAATTTTCCTTCTCTCTCGCAGTCTCTCTCTCTCACTCACACACACACACACACATCAATGTTTTGATAAACAAATATTTAAATATTCATATTATTATACATATGCTTAACAAATAACAAATAAGATTCTCATCAATTGAATGGAATATAATAACGATAACATTATGTGATTTTATTTGATTCAATCAGTAGTGTGCAGTTAATCCACTTTAATCTCATTGAATAATCTCAAAGTTAAGTAAGACTGAAATCATTTTCAAATACAGTGAATAGAAAATGCATTCAATACAATACAGAGAGGCAAATACAAATACGTGGATGACTTAATGACTTAACTGCATAAATAATGCAAAACTGAATACATTATGCATTTGTACGGAATATTATTCATAATTAAGGCATATCTCATAGAAAAATAAATAAACTCTAATAGACTTTCATGAACACAAATATAAATATTAGTGAATAAAAGTGCCTTATTTTTGAGAAAAGTATTCAAACATTAATATCAGACATAAAGAGATTGAAATGTGTTTTCGTATCGAAATTATTCTACACATACAGTACAGTCAGTATATTTGCACAAATTTTATTAAAAAGCAAAAATATTTACTATTTGTTGTATACTATACGAGCCTAAAGTAACTTAAGTTTATACTGGTATTTGTGGTGCAGATGTGAACAGTTATCAGTTGAGCATTACTTGTAGTGTTGTATACCATTAGCAGCAAAATCGGCATCAGATATAGACTCTCTTAAGCAACGGTAACCAAAAACTACAATAATGTCTAACAGTAAAGTGCCGTAACTTTAATATACACTATTTTATTGACAAAGTGCTCGACACCGGGGCCTCCAGTGCACAGTTACTCCAGTATTGATAGATAGCTAGAGAGAGAGAGAGAGAGAGAGAGA